CCTCTGTCCCTGGCAGCAGGGAGAGTGCTCAGAGCAACAACACGGGCCACGGGTCCACACTGAACAGAATGTTTCCTGCTATCAAGTTCTTTCTCAGACCTAATGTTCTTTAAATGACATTTTGATGTTCAACTATAACAGTGTCTAAAAATACAGGCGAACGAGCCCCTTACCTCCAGCACAGGGTAATACTCCGGTGATGGATTTCCAGGCATCGCTTCCAGAACACTTTGGCACTCCTGAGAAATTGCATTGATGGAGTCCAGCACTGGGTTCATTATGGCAGGGAACTGAGGAGGAGGGGGAAGAGGCAAGACGTGAGACAGCGGCTCCTCTAGACCCAGCGCTACCGCGATGAAACCGGCCCAGCCTTTTGGGGCTGGATTAGTCCTCATCTCATTTGGAGCTGCTTGTTCACAGAGAAAACCAATGCAGCCCAAGGCAGCAGTAAGTCGCCCACCCTTGCAGAAACCGGAGCGAGAGAAGGAACAGGCCGGAGGAAGGAACATTTTTTCCATGGTTGCAAACCAGTGGTTTTTGTGGCCTGCCCTGTAATGCTGAGGAGGAGGAGGGCAGTTGAGCCCCCCCTCATCCTAAGCGAGGGGGACCCCCCGTGCCACCCAGGCCACATCTCTGCAGTCTGCAGCCGCGCAGGCACCGTCACACCTTGAGGATCTTGTCCTTGACACCAGCCACCAGAACCTTGGTGCTTCGGGGCACTTTCGTGTTGGTCAGCAGGATCCTCAGCGTGGGCACCCTGCAAATAACACAGACACCATCCCCTGGCCCCTTCCTCCAGCCACTGCTGGTCCTGCCCCGAGACCCCCATCGGAACAAGGCCCAAGAGAGAGACCCCCATTAGTTTTCAGGAGTTAAGCAGGTGCTCAAGGGGCCTGGGTTCAGGCGTGTCCCTCTTAGTTACACTGAGCAACTGTTCCAGCTCCATAAATAGGCCTGTAACATATTTACTGAAATCCATGTTTTTCAACTAAAATCTTTCCCTTAAAATACAATCTGTGAGGTTAGCCAGCAGTAGCCATTAGCTGCTAATAGAGCAATTTCATGCACTGTGTAAGATTTTAATGGAGTCAGATTATACTTCATTGTCAGAAGGCAGAGGGAACATTTAGGGCCTGGATTTGCTCTTTGCAGCTTGGTTTTCATGTAGTTCTACCACCAGGTAAGCAAAAAGCTCCCCCTCTCCACAATGTCATTTGCTGCCAGGAGCAGACCCGTTCCTGCTGCCCATAATGCCATGAAATTAATATTGATCCTTCGTGCTCTGTTCATCTAATGTCACATAATGACTAAACATTTCATTGTGCTCGTCTGCCCCAAGCCAAGATGACACTCAAGCTACCTACACCCATGGCCAACAGCAAGATCCGGCTACCAAGCCCTTCTGCCAGGCTGTTAGCAATCTCCCATCAATCTCATACCATATAAAATCCATCCCATATATCTTTGACATTTTCCACCCACTGTATGCGAGCGTTATTTTTAAACTCGAATATTACCTCTTTAATGATGTGATTTTTCCTGATTGGTATCGCAGGGCTCCACCTAAAGTAAAACACATGCATTGTCTCAGTACACCGTGAGCCCAAGATAACACAATGTCGTAAGAAATAGAAGGTCTTTCATCTTCAGAACCTCACCCAGAGCGTATGACAGTAATTGCAAGAAACACCAGCTAAATGAACCATTTTCTCAGACAGCATGAATTTGCCTAACTGCTGATTTAATGAGAGGGTCTGGCTGGACACAGTTAACCCAATGTCTTTCCCTTTGCTCCCCTCTAGTGCAGGATCACATATGTCTTTTTTAGCAGTGGAGAGTTTGGCCACTATTAAATCCTCGCTGAAAAAGGCACGAAGCAGCAATTCCCTGGGGCATAGCTGAGCACACAGGCTTCAAACTGGCCTCAGGTCTGAACGTGGGCATTCCCATCAGCAGCCAGCCTTCAGCATGGAATTCTGCTGTCCAGAAGGAATGTCTCACTCTGCTCCTATTTTTACTGAAGCATTGCGATTAGGTCTCATTAGAAAGATTATTAAAAGGAAAAGTCTCAAAGGACACTTCCAAAACAATGGGAAGTCTCTGCTAATTGAAACTAAACAACAGCTGTCCGCCTGCATTTTCTACTGCATTATCCTTTGAATGGGATTGGGCTTCTCTGTTCGCTCCAGAATGTTTGAGTTTGAGTTATTTACAACGGGGTTTCTGCCCCACGGCGCTTGCCTGGGAGACGGAGCCCTGCGGGGTCAGGGCAGCTGCTCTCCCAGCTTATACGTGGGGCAAACCAAGGCAGAAAAGGACTCCCTCCCCTCAGCTCAAAAGGAGAAGCTGAATTTGGGGGTTTCTGGTCCCTTTGCAGCACTCAGGGCAGCGAGGCCACCTGCTCCATCCAGTCTGTCTGCAGCAGCCCCGAGCGGGTCTTTGTTGTGTGCAGAAACGCAGCCCGCGCTGCCGTACGGACTGCGCCGGGCAAAACGCACGTACCCCAAGTGCCAACAGCATTATCCACCCCCGAGGGGTTGCCGTGGATCACCCGCTCGCCCTGGAAGGCCCAGCTGTTAATTAAGCTCAGCTCTTCTTCTGTCCACCTGAAAGGCAAGAAGATGAGTTCAGCGCGTGCCCGAAAGCGGCATTTGCAGCGTGATGGAGAGAGCGGCCACGGCCGATGCTAGCAGCGACCAGGCAGGGCCAGGGCAGCTGCTGCGGGAAGCTCCGGGCCCTGGATGCCTTTGCTGACGGTCACACACCGCGTTCGCGGTGCCGGGATGGCGTGTGGCCGCGTGCGGCACCTCGACGGCGCGCGGCTCATCCCTGCGGAGCGCAAGCGCCTCTCCCGGAGGCAGGGATTCAGGGAGAGGCTCCCAACCAAGGGAACATCCACCCACGCCACCTGAGCGGCAATCTGGACCTCTCCGCACCTCCCTGACACCACGTGTCACCAAACGCCCCGGCCTGCGACCTCGCTCACCCCACACAGGACACTGTATTTATAGACGGAGACGGCACCACGTGAGGAGGGGATACTGAAAGCTGCAATTCACACATGCAACTTCTGCCTCTAACTGCCAGCTGATCAGCTGCTAAAACCTCACCAGTTTGGTCAGAAGATGCATTTAGAAGTGATTTGGTATCTCCTGTATGGGCTTCGTCCCCTCTGCACAGTCCAGATGCTCAGGGCACATTCCAAGCCCCCCTCCAAACCGTCCAGCACACAGTGGCGTCGGACACCCCGGTACCAGCTGCACTCTGCAGAAATCACAGCTAATATTCGGTGCAGGCAGAATGTGCAGTCAACAGGTTTTTGGAATGAGCCCAGAGTAGGAACCATATGCTAGAAGCGAGGCACACGGATGATCTGGGGGTAGATATCACACAGACTCACATGGAACAACCAAAACAGTCACTGACTGGTGCTGAGGCAGAAATTCTGGGAGCCACCTGGTATTTGGCAGCATCTTTCCTTAACTCTCCAGTTCCCTGGGCTTCATCTGAATTCCCTCATCCTTCTTCACACACCTTTAATTTCACTTGCCAGTATTTAATCTCTGAAGCATTCAGCAAAACAGCTCACACTACCGTTCCTCAAAATAGAAACGCAGTTTGCTGTAAACCACTTGTTTTTAATCCTCTTTGAGAGGCTGTGATTCTTCTCTACGCAGGAGTCATTATATCACACTGTTCTTTTCTTGCTATGTTAAGCAAAAACCTTCTGAAGTCTGACACCCCCATCTCTCACTTACCCCTCTGCACGCCAGCTGGAAGAAAAAAAAAAAACTACGCCGTGCTCAAGCTGAAAAGCGTGAGCAGGGAACGAAGGCATCCTTCCCACTTGCTGTCTGCTTTGGAACTGGCCTTTTATTTCCCACATAGTGTGACTGTTTGGGAGACCTGCCCGAGCACAGCTCACAAACAGCCCCACTCGAGAAACGTGTTTCTGGGTCAGGCTACAAAGCCCCGTTTTGAAGGGGAACGTCGCCGTCCTCGCTCGCTGCCTCACTTGGAGGCCGAAGGAAAACTCCGGAGAAGCCAAGCGTAAAAGGCTGCACCTGGCATGGAGCAAACAATGGAGTTCTGCGCTCCAGCTGCGATATGCATCTTTAAACACAGCTTCCCTGGACACAGGGAGGGCAGAGCAGGTTTGCAAGCCCCGACATCAAGTGACAGCAGCTACACAGGGCACATGCAGGTGGAGGTCGGGAGACTTCCTATCACCGGCCATTGGAAAAGGGGAAGCTCGGGCAGGAAATGGGAAGGAAAAGAGCCACATGCAGAAAGAAATTAATGTGTAAAGGCAGAAAAAAAAAAGAAAAAAAAAAAGAAAAAGCAGTAAGGATCCCTGAAGAACACAAAGCAGAACCTAGAAGATGTTCAGAGAGAGAAAACGGAGGTAAAAAGAAAAAATCTCCCTGTAAGTTAAAGCATGTATTTTATTTTCTTTGCAAAATAGATCAGCTGTATCATTTATCACTGCAGTGAGCAGTCACAGCCAGATCCTGAGCCCAAGGGAAACTGGAGAGTTCAAGAGATGCCAGGGGAAAGAAGGACAAGGGTGCAACAGTACTGGGATGGACTCATCCAAACGGGATGCACAGCCAAGGACAGCTGTCCGTGCTGCCACTGTCACAGCCTCACACGAACTAGCATAACCTCCCTGCAAACCACACGAATGGCTGGAGCTGTGCTAATCATAGTCATAGAATCACAGAATGCTTAGGGTTGGAAGGGACCTCTAGAGATCATCTAGTCCAAACCCCCTGCACACGCAGGGTCTTAGAGCCCATAATCTTAGAGCCCATCTCTGTGCACCTGCATAATTGTGTAAAACACTGCAGGCACAAATTCTATTTAGTGGGTAATAACCCCCTGTTCCTGCTGCCGGCGAGCAATGCTCGCCGGCAGC